ATATTATTTCCAAAAATCAGCACCTCATGTTCAAATCTTCAATCATTGTATCGGCTTCATCCAATATAAAGTACTTTAATCTATCTACTTTCAAAGCTTTCCTCTCACAAATCAAATCCTTAAGACGTCCTGGTGTACTACAAATTAAATTATAAATTTACCCAACTACTATTTAAGGTTTGACTGTTTCAATTGTTGAAATATTTACTGTCACTGGTTCTCCTCCCCCATAAAAACATTCTACTTTAATACTTTTCATAAACTTTCCCAATCTTAAAAATTCATCACGAGCCTTTAATATTTAAACATCATTTACTTATTGGGCCAACTCTCTTGTGTGAGTAATTACAAGACATTCCACTCTGTTACTTTCAGTGTTGATGGTATTTAGTACAGTCAAAACAAATACAGCTGTCTTTCCTGTTCCTGCTTTTGCTTGGCATATCAATTATTCTCCTTATAATGCATTTGTCAACGATTCTGCTTGGACTAAAGATAAGTAAAATAATTATAATTACCTCTAGTGGGATGCTCGAACCCGGCTTCTTTTACGGCTCGTAAGAGTTCCTCTTTAAGTCCAAAGTTTTTGAATTATGAGACATTATAATTGTCATATTTTCTACGATTCTCAATATTTGCTCTTACTATATGTCCTATTTTGTTGGTTATTATGGATCATCATAAAATTCAGGAATATCTTCTAATCCGCTCATTTGTTAAAATAAAATAAATATTTTAATATCCTAATTTAAATCAAAACACTTTTTATATTTATTCATTTATTCTGCTCTTTTAAAACTTCTAATAATTCTTCACATCTTAATTAATCTATTATAATATTAATAATAATTATATAATCTAATTTAATATTTAGTATATATTTCAATAAATTTTGTATCAGTCACTAATAAATATATAAATTTTTAGTATTCCTCTATCAGTAATCTATATATATATCTATAGTTGATATTTAATGTAAAAATAATAAATATAAACTAATAAAGTTCATTAACATAAATAATATAATGTAAACAATTATTTCAGATCGAATCACTATAATAAAATAGAATAAAAAAAGTATTAGAACTTTGGTTAACAACAAATTTATTAAAATGATTCCTTAATAAAATTAATTTAATCATGATTAATTGATTCCTATTTTCATTTCTATAGCTTACTTTAATAGTACATTTATAATAGATTATAAATATTTTAAATAGAAAGAAAGAAAAAGAGTAGAATTTTTATTTTTCTAAAATATATTAATTTATAAATTTATTTCATCTATTGAAGTTTGTAAATATATTTTTTATAATTTTTGTCACTATTTTCATAAGATAGAATTATAATTATAAAATTATAACAATTTTAAATACATATATTATGAAATTTATTGATATAATTATAAACTCAAATAATAAGCATAAGTAATGCTAATCCCAAGGTTATAAATTATGAATAACTTGATGAACCTTCACAAACTTCACATGCACTTGTATCAGTATTCCAATAATATGATCCTCTTGTAAGTACTGCACAATTTGTTTATGTTAATCCAGTAGCATCAGTACATGTACTTGTTGCAGGTGTCCAATTACATATTTACCATGTTGTAACAACATCAGATCTAATTGCTATACAATCTGTAGCTGTAGTCTATTATGCACATGTTGGTGCTACACAAGCAGCTGAACTATTCCAAAAACAATGATGATTTGTGCATTCAGTTTCTGTTGTCAATTCTGAACACTTCAATATTGAAGTAATAGCTTTGCATGGATATAAACCATCAGTTCCTTTTGTATCTGCTTAACATCCAATAGTCAAACAAGTTGCTTCATCTGTGTATTTATAATCAGAACAAGATGTAAAAGTGGCACATTCATTAGATGGAGTAAATGCACAAATTGAATTGGCAACATTACATTACAATATGGTAGTTTTAGTAGAGCAATCAATATCAACACATTCAGAGTTAGACCATTCACAACTAGAAGCTGAATTACAATCTAATTATGTTGTGAAAGTATCACAAGAACAATCACTTCCAGATATATCTACACTAAATCCATTTAAAGTGACTAAAATCATTCCAAGAATAAGGATATTTGAGTGAGTCATTTTATTATTATAATTTTTGAATATTTATTTAAACCCGGATTTGAATGGCTACAGGTAAATCACTTAATATATTTTTAAACAAATATTTAAAAATTAAAATTAAACGCATTTTTGACTATTTAACTCTTTTAAATAATTAAAAATTGATTTTTTTAATTTCATATACTCTTTTATACACTCAGAAAAGGTGAAATTATTTATATACAACACCTTAAAATTAATATGTTCTCATATAATCTCATTATTATATGTATATATAATAATATTTTCATTTACTTTTTACTTGAACAAATTGATCAAAACTAACTTTCTTCAAATATTTTTGTATTAGAACATGTTCAAATATATAACAAAAAAAAAAGAAGAAGAATATGGTTCAAACATTATCAATTCTAAAAAGCTACTAACTAAACTAATATGATCTATTCATTAAGGATACAAAAATGGAATGTAAAATAGAGGGTTAAATAGATAAAGTAGTGTCTATCAATTCTAGGATTAATAGTAAATGTTGATGAAAATCCAATAATTCTAATAGAACATCATCTTTATATTAGTTTTCGAATGTAGTTCATCTTTATATTGTTTAATAGCAATATTGAAACTATTTAACATAAGACAGTTGAAGTTAAACTGAAAAATTGGAGGAAACAATGAATTTTTGGAAAATTCTGTTGTTCTAATTATAATTAATAATACGTATAATATATAAAAATACTTATTAATTGAATGCTAAATTATTTATAATATGATATCATAATTTTTTGGTTTAATTTATGTCTTAGAAAAATATTTGTGTCTTGTATTAAGTTATTCTCCTATTATATTATAATTATATTAATGTCATAATATTATTATAATATTAGAATAGACTTTATACAAGACTTAGTAAATTATTTATTAATCTTATTTGAGTAGTATAATTAGATATATAATTAATAGATGATCAATTTTATTTATTATTGCAGTGCAGATTGATAAATATATTAATAAATCTAAATATAAAAATTTAAATACATCTTTTAGAAAAAATAAATATAAATAATGAATAATAAGGCAGCAAGCTCGAAATAAACTCCAGCTGTGCGTCAACAACCTTAAGCTGCAGCAACTGCTTCTTAAAATAGAGTATAAAATTTGTTAAATAATAGACTCCTTAACCTATCATTCAAAATATGGCTAGAGTTACCGATCCCAAACATGTTCCTAAAGAAATTAGAGATCAGTTTTTAAAGAAAATACATTTTTGCTCTTAACCATATGATTTTAATGATGATACTAAAAATGTTAAGGAAAAATAAGAACGATCTTAATATTTACAAGAATTATTTGATTTATTAAAAGAGCCCAACTTTGTAGTGAATTTAGTTGTTCCTCATTTAGATCTAATTATAGAAATGATTGAAAAGAATATATTCAGACCATTACCTATTTTAAAAAAGACAGCAACTAATGGTGAAATAGGAATGGAAGATGATGATGTAAATTAATAATTAAACAAAATTAGTAATTAATTGATCCAGCATGGACTCATTTACAACCAGTTTATGAATATTTCTTATAACTAATTGTTAATGAATAACCAGATGTCAAATCACTCAAAGTATTTCTTTTATAAATATTTAAAGATTTTCATCACTCATTCATTTATATAAGAATTCTTGGAGTTATTTGATTCTGAAGAACCTCGTGAAAGAGAATATTTAAAGAATATATTACATAGATTATATGCTAAATTGGTTCCAAGAAGAAAGATGATAAGAAAAGCAATTAACGATTGTTTTTATACTTTAATTCATGAAACATATAAATTTAATGGAGCAGCTGAACTATTAGATATATTAGCAAGTATTATTAGTGGATTTGCAGTTCCTTTGAGAGAAGAACATGTTATCTTTTTCAAAACTGTTATCATACCTTTACATAAAGTTTAAACTTGTTAATTTTATCATGAACAATTATTAAGATGTTCTATGCTGTTCTTATCAAAAGATCCAACCTTAGCAACATTTTTAGTTGAAGGATTATTAAGATATTGGCCATTTGCTAATTCAGCCAAAGAAGTCATGTTTCTTAATGAACTATTAGAAGTATTGGAAGTTTGTGAAATTTCTAAATTAGAACCATTAATTCCAAAATTATTTAAAAGATTAATTAAATGCATAGCAGGACCACATCTACAAGTGGCTGATAGAGCAATGTGTTTCTTTGAGAATGATTACTTCTTAACTATTCTCAAAAGCTATAAACCATTTACTTTCCCTTTATTAGTTCCAGTAATAGCATAAATAGCAGATACACATTGGCATAAGGTTTTATAAGAATCTTTAAATGCATTGAAAACAATTCTCAAAGAAATAGATTATCAAGCATTTGATAAAGCCTTAAATAATAAGGATCCTAAATATTTATATATCATTTAAGATGCCAAAAATTAAAAAAAAGACAGATAAAAAATAGAAGAAAAAGTATGATTAATTCATTAAATTAATTAGTGGAAAAATCTTACCAAATAGGCTATTCAAAAGAATCCAAATTTCAAGGAACCAATTGTTCCTTATTCAGACACTCATATTGTCGGAGAACACAATGGTCTTAATAATGGAAATATTACCATTTTATGATCAGAATTATATTAACATATAAAATAAATTCATATATATATATAGATTCTAAAATTAAGTAGTTTTCTTTTGAAATTACTCTAATATTATTAATATACTAATAATATTCTTATAACCATTAATGTTTTATTAATTATTCAATAAAGAAATAACTAATGTCTCATTAATGTATTCTATTTATCATAATTAAAACGAATATATACTTTAGAAATACAGCATACTTATTTTATTTAATTTGTTAATTTAAATATCTCAATGGAAAAAAATAAAATTGAGGAGCTTTGGAAAACATATATTTGTCCTGAACGAAAACTAAAAAGATCTAAATAACCAAAGGAAAAGAAACGATACATTAAAAAGGCTTATCCATTAGAATTTGGACCAGATGGAAAAACTTTATTGTAAAGAGGGCCATGGACACAGCAAGAAAGAGAAATTTATTTATAAATTTGTTAAAAACATGAAAAAGAATGTTAATCAAACCAAACAAAAGAACTATTTTAAGAAATTCTACAATTAATACCAACTAGAAATCTTACATAACTCAAAGGTTATCATAATAATCATAATCCTTTTCAAACCATAGTAATAAAAGAAACTAAAAGAATTAGAAGAACTAAATTGGAAATGAGCTAAGAGAAACTGAAAGAATTTGCTTTAAAAAATAAAAGGAAAAGATAAATAAAATAATTAGAGAAACTTTCCAGCCTTAATAATCAAATTCTCACATTAGAAACATAAATTATACAATTTAATTTAGAAGATGGAAAATAAATTGAAATAAAGGTCTTTATAAATACTGATTTATTATTAAATTTAAATAATATAGAAGATTAGAAATAAGATAAGGATGAAATAAAAACTGAAAACTTAGATAACGTAATAGAAGAATTAAAAGAATAAAATAATTTACCAAAGATTTAAAAAGATAAAATTGTTGTAAGAATACGTAATCCACTTGAAGTAAAGGTTGAAAATGTAGAACTGGAATCTTCCTTCATTAATGAGGCTAAGTAAATTGCTTTTAAGGAATTAATTAGTTTAATTTAATTAGAAAACAAATTCAATAAAAAATAATTAATCGAAAAGATGCATTATTATCCAATTGAGAAACCTTAAAGAATATTAATTAATTTTAAATAAAAAAAAGATAATATGCTTTAAATTGAATAATAATAAAATAATGATAAAGATGAATAATAAAAAAAAGATAAATAAATATAATAAATTATTGAACCAATTAAAACTTAAAATGTATAATAAACCATATTTTCACCAGAAAAATAATAATAAACATCGCTCCAAATTAATAATCTTGATAATTAAAAAATTATTATTTTAGATTCTTAAGAATAAGCAAATTAAAATTCAAATAGCATACTAATCGTGGATAATAAAAATATTCAAATTGAATCTTTAATTTAATAATAGTAATAGATTAATAAATCAAATTGCTTAATTTAATCACAAAATAAAACTAATTGTGGACAAGACAATTAAGTTATTGAATTAACTAAAAAAGTATAATAAGATTAAGATAAGACTAATAAAGAAGATTTGAATTAGTAATTCTCTCAAAATTAAGAAATAGATGTTGAAATAATAAATGAAAATAAAAAAACTAGATAAAAGCTATAATAATTAAAACATATATAAAAATAAATTAAAAGAGAAAAAAAAATAAAAAAAAAAAAATAAAAATAATAAAAATAATTAGAAATCGAATTAGAAAAAGAAATATAAATAGAATTAGAAAAGGAAAGACTTAAATAAATAGAAAGAGACAAATAATAAGAAATTTTGAAATAAAAAAAATAAGAATTATAAAAAGAAAAAGAAAGACAAAGAGAGAAGTTAAAAGAAAAGCGTTTATAATTTTGTAATGAAAACGATAGAAAAGAAAGAAATAGAACTAAAAATAGAGAGCTTAGATCACAATAAGAACTTTATTAATCATAAAATAATAACAAAAATAAAGAATAAAATTAATTAGTAATCCAAAACAATTAAAACTAAAAATCTTCAGAACAAAACCATCGCATAAAAAAATAAAAAAAACAAGAAGGATAGGTTGCCATTTAATAACAAATAGTAGAATTTAATCATTAATAATAATAATAATAATAATAATAATAATAATAATAATAATAATAATAATAATTATTATTATTATAAGAATAAAACCCTTCATCTTATCTCCCTCATCAATTTTAAATCCCAATCCTTGATCAAATGTAATAATAATATTTCATCAAATAAACTTAAGGGAATTAATTTTTTGGTCATAATGATTGCTTTTAACAATTAAAATTTGTTGAAGGATAATATTAAAATTAATAGGAATAAAACAGTTTAATAAAAGATTAAAATAATCCAGATAATAATCCTTAGTTTCCTAAAATGGTTCCGATGTAAATCTAAAATTATCTTTAATAAGACTAAGCTATTTCATAACTCTAGCCACATGTTGCATTTTAACCTTCTTAACCTTTTATAGGAAATCCTTACTATTATCCTTAATTTTTACCTCTAAGACAAATATAACAATAAACTTAAGGCCTTAATGAAGCATAATAAAATTTAAATAAAGATTATCAAGTAGAAATGATGTACGTATTTTAAGAAGTTCCTTAAAATTTTGATCCAAATTTCTTTTTTTAATTCTCTCCTCAAAGTTTTGTTTCTATACCTGGAGGTTCCAAGTTAGGAGATGCTCTAAAATGAGAATATTATTAATTAAATATTATACATACAATTATTTTTAATCTCTTAGAACATATTATAAAAAATCAATATATTTTGAATAAATCATGTATAATAATATATATTTAATATATATTTTACATATTAATTGATACTCCTTCAAACTTTCTTATTTAAATTGTGATTTAAATAAATTACTTGAACTCTTCGGTATTTTATAATTTTAAAATAAATATAATACATAATATTTTGTGTAAATAACTGGAATTTATTTAATTAAAGTTAGACGATAATATATTTAACAAGCCTTAATAAAATTTATACCAATAATATATGATGATAAATTATAAGAAAAAATCATAATTTAATCATTTTGTTATCATATCATCTCTTAGGATGAAGAGCTAAATTTTGGATTGATTGAAAAATTATAGAACTCGAAGTCATTAAACGATACTTTTTTTTTACTTTTTAAATTTTATTTCAAATCTTTATTATTACTCTTAATACAAGACTTGCTATTTTCAGGAATTTGATATCGATACTCTTTGTTTTCATTTATTTTAACTTATTCTTATATTCGAAATTATTAAACCTCTTGATCAATAGTATAATCATTAATATTACTATTGATAATAGGGTCAATAGTAGAATTAGAATTTCTATGTCTTTATTCTAAGAATTTATTAAATTTATAGAAATTATCAGGTTTACAAAAATCAGCCTCATCATTTGGCACAGAACATTGTATTGTTTCTATTGAATTTAGCTACTAATCTAATTTAACAGATTTGCAAATTTAACCCATTTATAAATATTATTTAATTAACTCAAATCTTCTATTGATTTCTTTTGAAGATATGTTGTTATAAGGCTTACTATTATTTCTTAATAAAAACATTGTGATTATAATTAGATAATAGAACTGGAATTAATGATAAAGATTTATTGTTGCTATTAATTTAAATTAATTATCTAATGTTTGATAACAATTTATTTTAAGTGTTTCACATTGTTACATATGTATCAGTATATAAAAGAAGGAAACTCAACATAAATTTTAAAATAAAATTATCGGTTTTAATAATTATGAGAAAGAACTATAATAGATAAAAGAATTAGATCAATAGCTGAATTAATATTGAATGTAGGGAAAAAAACAATTTGATGTTATAATTTAATAAAAGTTCTGTTGGAAAATTAGTCTAAGTTTTTCAACAATGTTAAGAGAAGAAATGTTGATATAATTAATTCTTATTTTAAAGAATATAATTCTTCTTTTAAACTTTATATTGCTTTAAAGAAAAAGAGAATGCCTGTCAAATTTATTTTATTTATTTATATTCTTTCTCTATTTTTATAAATATAAAATGACTTTATATATAAAATAAGAAGGCAAACAAAATGAAATGCTTTAGTTGATATATGGAGAATTTAATTTATATACAAAAAATGTAATAAATTGAGGAGATTTATTTTTGTAAAAGAATTAACAAACTAGTGTTTAAATAAAAATATTGAATAAAACTAAATGAAATCATATTTGAAATACAGAACAAAAAATTAAAATATGAAATTTAATAATATAAAGTTAATATTATTCATCCAGATTATGATTATTATTCCAATTTTTGAGATTCTTATTATTTTTCTAGAATTTCTTGATCTTGAATTTCAGCTTAATTATTTGTTTCTTCATTTTTAGTTTCATTCTTTATCTAGATAGTATCTTCATTTGAATTTTCTTGATTAGGTATATTTTATTCTAATTTTCCATCATTTAAATCCTCTAATATAGTTGAAAATTTTTTTTGATTTTTTTACTCATAGTCTGTTTCCTGATTAATTTAAACTGAATTATCAATTTATTAAGGACTTGTAAAACTTTTAGATAATATTTATAAATTATGATCTGATTAATCATCTTCCTAACCTTAAAATGATTACTAATTTAAATATTATGATTTTTTAATTCTTTGTCTAATTTATGAAGATCTTTTCATTTAGAATTCTTTAAATCTTTAACATTATTCATTAATTTATATTATTTCTAAATGGATTTTACTAATACAATTTTCAAGTTCAACTAATTATTTTGATTTATGATTAATATCTTATTTGAATAATTTAAGATCAGCCAAATATTTCTCATCAAGAATTTTTTTATGTCTTTCCTAATTTTATATTTGTAATTATATCTTAAAATATTGTTATTCTATTTAAGGATCTTATTCTAAAATTGCAGCACTTTATTATTCTTTAAAAATGACCTTATCTCTTACTTTAGATTGATATTCTTAAAACTATTATAATTTTTTTTGTTCATTTTCAATTAATTCATATAACTAATAGTTTTTTAATTGACTTTCTTATATGGATTTATCTATTTATCGGCTTTATTGCTAAATAATTTAATTTTAATTACATTTCATTTTAAAGTGCAGAAACTCCATGTTATTCTTCTATTTGAGTGATTTCCTTTCCTTATCGTTAAGTGATTTTCTTTTAAGTTTCTATTTATTAGGCTAACATTTTTATATTATCTTCACATTAAGAAATTTTATTTTCTAAATCTATTTTCATAGTTTTTTATTCCAAGATGGTTAATCTTTTCTATTATTAATGAATCTAAAATTTTAATCTTTTCAAAATTTCAATATTATTCATTTATTCTTTTTATAAGACATCTTTACTAGGAAACTATATTTATTCTAAATTAATTTAATAAATACTTTTATTTGGTTTCTTTTTTGATAAATAAGTTCCAACTTCATCATTTAATTATTTTAAAAGAGCTCTTAATTTTTCTGGTTTATTATTACATTCTTCAGATAATTAAGAGTACTTTGTATCTAAAATTATTTAATAGAATACAAAAGCTTTCTTAGATGACTTTAGGTGTAAGAGCCTTCATAAAATATTAAAAATATATAAAATTTAATTGAAAACAACTGATTCTTCCATTCAATAAATTTCAAAATATAAAATATAATAAGATAAAATATGACAGATAATATTAAGATTAGAATAATAAAGTAATAATAATTTTTAGAAATACTAACTTAGTCTTAATATTTAAAAATATGAGCAGTTTTTATTCAATTATATTTACGTATTATTATTAATTTTTATCAATTAAATGCGTAATAATAAAGATAAATATCTTCTATTTTATTTAATGAAAAATATCCAATTGGTATTATTAATTGCCCTATTTTGTTTTGCTTCTGCAGATATTGTCATCTATAAATCTAAGAGATGCGAATGTTCCTCATTTATCAAATCAGAATGTGATAAATGGTATGATTGCAAATGGAATGAATCATCTTGTCTTGAAAAAGAATGCACTGATTATACAACAGAAGATAAATGTCATGGAGAATGTTAATGGAAAGGTGGAAAGTGTGTTGATGAGGAAAAAGAATGTGAAGATATGCCAAATGAAGAAAGTTGTTCAAATTTTGCTGGATGTGGTTGGAAAGATAACAAATGCATTGAATTTACTCAATGTTCAGATTTCATTGTAACAAAGGCAGAAAGATGCTCTGTTTTGAAAGGTGAAGATGGAGAAAGATGCTAACCAAAAGGTGTTAGTGTAACTACATTATTTTACAAACATTTAGCTGTTGCAGCTGGATTTTAATGTGAAAATAAAGTGTACGTTGATTGTTCTAAATTTGTGACTGAAGCTACATGCAAAGGAGATGCAACTGCAACTGCAAAATGTTAATGGAAAAGTGATGGTAAATGTTATGCATTTGAATTAAAAACATGTAGAGATGCTGATGGATTTAATTAAATGTGTGATCCAAAATATTGTAAAAAAGATGGATAATTATGTGTGAATAGATCATGTTCTGATATTACCACATAAGCATTATGTACATCTTTACCAAAGATTGACAACAACAAATCTGTTTTATGTAAGTGGGGTGCTGATAATAAATGTACTGTTGCAACAGATGCTACTCATTTAAATGAATAAACTTGTAATGATGTTACTTTTGGTTCCTATCATTGGGTGACAAATACTTGTCAATAATGTGCTTCCAATTGGATTTTATCAATTATGTCATTGATTATCTTGGTTGCCCTAATTTGAATGAATTATTCATTATTCAATATTGAACACATAACATATAAATTTATTTTATATATATATATATTTATAATTAATATATTATTTTTGGAAATTTATATAATTATTCATTTTTATTAAAATTGGTAAAATATTTAGCATATTTTTATAAAAATATTGATTATTCTTTATTATAAACAATTAATTTTATAAGAATTGCATCATTTAATAATAATTACATCTTTTATAATACGAATTAAATTAAAATTCTTAACTAAAAGCTTATCTTAAACCTGAATTAAAATTAAATGAATAGACACTTAAGTAAGCTCATTCAAAAATCATTCTCTATCTAAACTAAACCAACCCAAAACTATACTATGCCACATCCTATTTGGAATAAGCCAGAACTAGAACAAGTTAACTTGGAACATAAACCAGCACTTACTTTTGGAGATCATTTTGCCTATTACTTTATTCAATCAATGAGAGTTGGCTTTGATGTTATGAGTGGATATAAAAAGATCACTCCATTTTAATCAGAATTAGTGTCTGAAAAAAAATGGATCAATAGAGTTCTATTTTTGGAGACTGTTGCTGGAGTCCCAGGATTTGTAGCTGGTATGCATAGACATTTGAGATCACTAAGAGGAATGAAGAGAGATTAAGGATGGATTCACACCTTACTAGAAGAAGCAGAAAATGAGAGAATTCATTTGTTGACTTTTTTAAATATCAAAAAACCCTCATTAATATTTAGAACTGGAGTTGTTTTAGCTTAGACTTGGTATGTTGCACTATTTGGAGTAGCATATATGTTTTGGCCTAGAGTATGTCATAGGATTGTTGGATATTTAGAAGAAGAAGCAGTTAAAACTTATACTCATATGATTCATGAAATAGAAAGAGAAGGAAGTCCAATTCATTCATGGACTACTAGAAA